TATATTTCCTTCAAAATTGTATTACTGGTAATATTTTTTTTCAAAAAAGTATTGCTGGTAATAGTTAACTATTTTCCCATAGCTGGGACCCTAACAGGTGCTTCCACCCCGGATCAGGGTGGACCTGGGAACACCAGCAATTCAGAGGTGGTTCCATGCTCCTCGAAACCTCCTGATCAGAGGCCTTGTTGTTGGACGTAGTTTAACGTCTTAACCAGGACGTGGATGTAATTTAACGACTTACCCAGGACGGTAGATATTTTCTTCTGTTTTATAAATCGCATTATAAATCGCATGCGATATACATCCATTTTTTTCTCTTCTTTTTATTCGAAATCATGTCCGTTAAACGTCTTTGATAAACAATAATATTAAGTTTATCTTCTTTTAGCAAATTTAAAGAAATCAGTACTTAACTGTCTTGTTGGTAACGAGAAACACCCGGATCTAACTGGTATTGACAATCATTCCCGTATGCAATCCGTGAATTCTTTTGCGTCTGTACTGAGGCGCATTCACCACAGAACCGTATTAAAAATATTCGTCCAATATACGAAATAATACCGAGAAGTTCCCAGATTAGGGCCCAAAAGTGAGCCATTATTTCAGTATATTGATTAAATCCGGCTACCATCTTTTCACTAAGGTGAAAGCATATCAGTTTTTATTTTCTCTGAAGATCCCTTTATAAACTTTCTAACTTGAGGTGAGTCTTCTCCGGATAAAGGTCGCATTATGCGTTCATGAAATGTTTCCTCATTGTTTCATCTGAAAGTTCAAGACAGAAGTCCGTACTACTCAGAAACATGTGTTCGCCGAAATCTAATGCATTTCCGTTGCTCAAATTTATCAACAATCATAAAGATCGCACAGCCGTTCCAACAACGTTACAAAACGTAGCATTTTAATTGAACATTACTAGCCTGCACGACGCCTTCTAGAGGACTGACTTAGAAGAATATACACCAATGGAGTTGCACTTTCATTGAAGGATGAAATAGTATCAGGTAAATTTCTCTAAGTTTCTGATTGCAGCTTTTAAATTTACAATATTAACGAGTGAAAAATAACGAAAATGTGAGAATTTTTCGGTTATTAAATTTGTAATCATGAAAAAAATAAATAGAATTAAAAAGTTGAAAATTTGAAACATCCACATTTTAAAGATTTTCGAAAATTTAGTAAATTATTTTAATTTAGTAAATATATATATATATATATATATATATATATATATATATATATATATATATATATATTGCAAGAATGTGTGTGTAACGGAAAGATTATCGGCGGTGGGTGTAGAACTAGCAAGGTGGGCTTAAAGTCTGATCTTTTTTGTTTTTGTTCAATTCACACTAATGCCATTCAACTGTATGATGCATAGCAGGGCAGACGGGGTTAATTTGCCTTGACTGGCAGCCGGTCTAATAAAAGGAAAACTCAAGCCTTGCAAGCTTAGAAGGGAAGGCTAAGTAATAAATCCTACAGACATCCAGAGATTTTAAGCCGTATAAATGGTGTATGGTGTCAGATTGCGGCAACTCTTGGAACATCTTTGGTACCATTTGTTTACCGTTTCCTTTGTAATTAACTGGCACTACCAAGAGTATAATCTTAGTCCCAGTCCATAAACTCTAACCAGATTAGAACACTAAAAAATCTTTCGAGAAGGGAGAATTTCCATCGCACCGTAGTTGCCACAATGATTGGATTTATTCATGATAAAGTTTTCATATAAAGTAATTATCAGAAAAAGTTTTTCTTTAATATAAATTCTCACCCTTCGCTTTTATGAATTCTCAGTGAACTGCCAATTGAGGTTACATAAGTTATACATCTTTGAAAGGTTAATACGCTGGGAAAACGAAAATCTAGTTGATTGAAAAATAAAATTTAAAAAATGGCTGAGAAATTGACTGCGCCTGTAATATTCTTATTAAATAAGTACGATATTTTAATAATCGGAAATTAAATAAAGTCATCAATAATAATTATCCGTAGTAATTTTCAACCTTTCCAACCGACTTTGGCGTCAAATTTTCAGTATTTTTATATTAAAGATTTCATAAAAACTTTAATAAATTCTACTCGTTAGATCCAATAGAATTTAGGGTAATGTAAAACTGTATCATTAGTACAAGAGCGTCATAGAACATTTCTCGGACTGACTAATAAATTTAGGTTTGAGTCCTGCTTTTACTCGACACTGGTTTTGTAGTTTTATTAAAGACTAACAAGAACATCGCAGAAGGTTGTCGCCAAGTTTCTCTTTCTATCTCTCGGTTTTCAATTCTGGAGTTGAATATTTTCATGAACAAGTTAGTTTTGATTTTCTTTCGACTTCGCCAAAACTAACGTTCATGAATCATAAAGTATGGGAGCTTAAAACACCAATTTGTGTATTCTTTCTTGATGAAATAAGGTTGTTGGATTTTTTTTTACGTTAGACGCGATACGAAAAGGAAAATCTGAATCCCTAATCTTAACTCAAGTCCATAATCCAGTGTGGAACTAATGAAATCATTTCTCGCTAATTATAAAATATTTTGAACTGATGGGTATCAACAAATGTGTCTACCAAAATGTAAATAAACTAAAAACGTCTAACAGATTGACTGAGACGTAAACAAACTTATTAGTTGGGTTACAAAGTATAAAAGCTGGAACAGTTTTAATACAAGATATTTTACTTACATTATGTACATTGTTCGAACTTTTGTCCTCATTTTTATTGCCATATTCACGACGTTTCGGCTGTTGTACACTCCGGCCTTCTTCAGGCGAATTGAACCCATTATTTCGTCTACCGGAGTAGATTGTTCTAGTTGCACTTGCCATGCCTCTTCTCGGTGTCTCAGCTATCTCCCTTTAACTTAACTCTCGAATTTATTTTTGTTCACCACAGCAGCGGCCAGGTATTGAACTCACAACCGTTTGGGTCAAATAATATTTGATGTAATAAAAATATGTCGGATTAAGAATAAAAATTCCATTAATTCTTTAAAAATGACCTTGTTAAACACATACACACGCACACCCACACGCGCGCGCACACACACACACGTATATAGTGATCAGTTATATCCACAATTACCTCATACGGAGAATAGACCTATTTCAACTGACGAAAGCTTCGTCAGTCTTATTCAACCCCGGTATAGAGACACTATGTACCGGATCTATATGCCGGGGTTGGATAAGACTGACGAAACTTTTGTCGGTTGGAATAGGTCTATTCCCATATGAGGTTATTGTGGATTTTATTGTGTACTAATTATTTACTCTGTACTAATAAATACATTGAGCTCTTTCTGTGGATCGATTGTAATATTTTATATTACTAGGATCCACTTGGATTATATATCAACGTATTTATTACATTTACTGTATATATATATATATATATATATATATATATATATATATATATATATAAAATAAAAAAATCGATTCTCTCCCGTCGGGTTCGACGTATGAGGGTCAAGCAGATCAGTTCCCAGGAAAGCGACAGCCCGACACCGACACATGAGATTCGATTATAGTGGTGAAGGTTTCGTGCAGAAACATCCACACTTTTTGAAGGGCCGAATACAGAGACCTGGTGCACTACGTGCCACAAGGTCCCCAAACAACCCCACTCAGGTTTGGAATTCAGAGTTGTCCTTCTCCTAGACCAGTTGCCATCCAAGGCTATACAACCCAGTCTGTCCTGCTATTTTACCCATAGCTGGAGGGAGAAGAAGAGGATTCACACCTTTCCCAAGGGTATTAGCACGTAAGTGAATGTAATGGATTCAACCCGGATTCGAACTCGGCTCTGCGATTCCTCAATCCGAGGAGGTACGGTTATATATGGCAAAACAGTACCTTTTATATTGTATTAAATTTATGTATAAAAGTGCTAAATATCAGTGATAGAGTGTATGAAAATATCAAAGTGGAACGCAATCTTCCGACCCTGGACTGAAGATTGTGTTCATCTATGAAACAGACTATCGCCACTCTTTATTTACCTCATTGCTCATTTTTAAAAAATACTTATATTTTAGTGTTATCCGCATCATGTTAGTAAATATTAGTCACACAAGCAAGAAAGAGGCATATATATATATATATATATATATATATATATATATATATATATATATATATATATTTATATATCATAATTTGTAAACGTTTTTTGATACCTCTCACTATCTCCCTCTCCTTCTCTCTCTCTCTCTCTCTCTCTCTATATATATATATATATATATATATATATATATAGAGAGAGAGAGAGAGAGAGAGAGAGAGAGATAAATAGTAGATAGATATAGGGTGTATCAAAAATGCTTTTACAAGCATTTAAGGTTGGTTCCTTACTCCAAAAGAAGGACAAAAGTTCATATAAACTTATGTCGGCAAATCCCCCGTGATTGAGTTATTAATTTCAAGAAAATTTACGGTAGATGGCGCTTTGTTGTCATTTGGACTAGGTTACATTTGTCATTCATGTACATGAGTGGTTGGTCTGTCTTCAATGTTTAACGTGTGTAGTACTGAGTTAATAATGACAGTATTAACAATAAGTGTTCGGTTTAACAATGTCAGGATATTCATTTCATGAGCAGGCAGATATGATTTTAACATACGGCCGCGCGAATGGTAATGGACGCGAGGCTGCAAGGTTTTATCATTTTGCGTTTCCACAGCAAAGGCAGTCGAGTCATCTAACCTTTGCTGCTGTTTATCATCGCAATCCTGAGACAGGATTCGTGGCACCACAAACTATGGATCGAGATCTGCTTGTACACCTAATGACAAAAAATACATTCTACAAGGTGTCGGAGACGATCCAGCTATCAACATGCATGATGGGAATCCAGCACGTTTTCGTCACATTGTTCACCATGGACTGGCTGATATTTACCATGAAAGATGAATAGATAAGGGATGTCCAGTTTCAGGGCCTGCACGTTCCCCCGACCTTTGGATTTTTATCTGTGGGGACACGTAACACAATTCGTTAATGCAGTAAATATTAATAATGCATAGTCGCTTCGCCAACGTTTCATGAGGGCCTGCGAAACTATTTGACATCGTGTGGGAGTATTGAAAACGTTCTGCCAGTCAATGACCCGATGGGCGCATGCGTGTGTAGAAGAAATCGGGGGACATTTTGGATATTTGTTATGAGTACCTGTGTTGAGGTACGACGATGGCGTTTTGGACATATGTTTATATGCATATTTTACCTTGTTTTGGTGTCAGGAACCCACCCCCAAAGTTCGTAAAAATATTTTTGATAGACCCTATATATATATATATATATATATATATATATAAAATGTGTATGTATATAGATATAAATATATATATGCAAGTTTTTCTATATATTATTCATATATTATATATGCGCGGTACTTATTGGAAAGCGCTCAATATCAGTGATAGAGCTAACATATTTAGTTGGATTGGTGTGAGTTTGCTTCTTGCGGTCGTCAGACAAAAGTTTGTCTGACGATCGCAAATAGCGTGAAACCCAGGGTCACAAGCTCACATCTATCTATCTATCTATCTATCTATCTATCTATCTATGTGTGCGTGTGTGTGTGTTTGTGTGTGTGTGCGCGCGCGTGTGTAAACACTACACTACAAACCTTCCTCTATGTGCTGTATCCCTTCATGCGATTAGGGCTTTCTAACCTTTGTAACACCTAAATGTCTTCTTGCTATCACTCGTAGTCTCTGTTCTCTCATCCATTACATGTCAAGGGATGTCATTCAGTGCTTTCCTTTGATTCTCTTGCATTCAATATGCCCTGTGAATATCAAATTCTCCAATTTCTCTTTCTTCGCTATATACCCTAGGAAGTTCAATTGTCACTTTCCATACTTAGAATTAGAATTGTCAATTTCGCTTCCATTTTCTCTAAAATTCTGACGTTGTTCACATACTTTCTATCCATAGTATTCTCAGCATCCTTCTGTAGAACTAGATTTCTGTTACCTCAAGTTTCTTTTTGATGTGTTGAAATTGTCCAGTATTTAATGCCATATCGGGATACCTATATTACATAACAGTTCAGTTATTTTCTTTGTTTCTTAGTACCCTGCTTAGCTTTTGGAAGGCATATTGTGCTATTTCAATGTGCATTTGCCTATCGTCTCGTAAAGATCAATAATCTTGCCTCGTTCATCTTCTAAGTTCTGTCTTCTATGGGTGCCAACTTCCTTGCATTTAATCAGACTAAAGTGGTTAAATTGTTATAATTCCATTTTGGACCGATACGTGTTTTTTATTATACATATTAACACATGTATCTGTTTTTGTTGAATGGCAATTTACGTTTTGGCCATATTAAGATAATTTAATATATCTCTGTAAATTCTGTTTTAGAATTTGGTTATTTTATTATTGTATCTAAGTTTTCAAATAAACTTTTCCCCTTAAAATATTTTTGTTCGTGGAACAAATTCTAGTATTCCTATCACACTGTTTAAGTTTGAATTTTGAACATCAGTGAGTCGGCTTAAACCAGTATTTCTCAATTTATGTCCTCACAAATAAAACATTCTTTCTCTATTTTCGATTGTCTCGCTTCAATCAAAAATATATAGTTCTATCTTGTTGAGAAAAAAAAGCTAACAAAAAAAAAAAAGATTTCTCCAAAAGAACCATATTTTTTCATTGCTATGATCAAAACGAGGCTTCAGTCTCGTTCTCACTTTCTAATGAGATAAAACGGGTTGTTGCTTATTAAAGAAAACGCTATCCTGTAGAAATAAGCTCACTAAAAAGTAATTCGTCCTTTTCTAATTTCCTCGCCAAACTTTTTTTCATTATTCGGCTCGCGTTCTCTTAATATATTCTCCATTCGCTCAGTATGACTTTTTTTTTCGAACCGTATCAATCGTAGTTGTCAAATCACTAAAGAATTCTTCGAGCTTCAAATTAATGTACTTATGTGAGAAAACATGGCCAAATGCACTCTCTAAAATTGACAGTTGCACCCGATAACCGATAAAATGCTCCAGGGAAAATTGACAAGCTTCTGTCTACTTATATGCATTTGCCTAGAGCGATAGCCTTAAGGTTAGGCGATGAAGCAAAGGAAAAAGTAATCTGATGTTATGATGTAAAGTATCTCTTTCTTGGTGCTATATTTCTTCAGGTCTTGTTCCTCCACAGCTTCCTTTCTTTTGTTGCTTTGAGCAATACTTTTCTTTTACGATTTTTTTTTTTTTTAATCTTTTTTGTTCTTACTCCAATAAATATCTATTTACACAAACATGTACTGAATACACAGTAGAAATATATTCTAACCGATTCTACGGACCTTGCCCCTATACATCAACGATTTTAGGACATGGTTAGTCTAGACGACCGTTTCTAGAAGATAAAAGTAGAGAGTATCCAAGGCCATCAATTATAGCCGTAAATTACTCCGTTCTAAAGGCATAACTGGAGAGAGATGGAACAAAAGACCCGAACGATTGTTTACATTTACAGTTTTGATATTCCGTTAAAAGAAAACAATCAATCAATAAATAGGTTGCTTTTTACTGCTCCTCTTGTCTTTGATGTGCCTTGTGTGCATCAAATTCTTCAAGTCTCCTTTCCCTATCATGAACGGTTTCTTTGTAACTTTTCACTTTAAATCTTACTTATTTGCCAATTGCTCTGTGTAATCATTAATTATTTGGTCTTATAGGTATTTTTCGTAATTTGTCTAACATTTATAAGCATGTAATAGATTAGATATTACATGATATGCCGGAATTGTTTTTAGCGCTTCATATATTTATTGTACTTATTAAATGAAGTACTGAGAGCGTCATCTTTATTGTTTCTATATTTTCTTCTTTTTTATGTGCACATTTGAAAACGAATATGAATATGTTGACTTCTTTATAAATATTGAGTTTACACGCTTTTCTCATATTGTCTGAAGTCCGAATATAAAGTCATATCATTTCGTACGATTTACGCATAGACTAATCACTAAACTGTTTAAATTAGAGAAATTAAATTGTACAAAAATGTAAAAGCTCATCTGAAAAGTAGAATCAAACAAAGTTTGAAACTTTTAATAATCTAGAAATGTTTGTGTTGTCTATGGCTCCCAACGCAACTACATAAAGTGGTAATAACGAAAATAGCCATTTGTATTTCTTACTCGTTTTATTAACAATGAGTGGTGGTAGGGTTGATTCTAAGATGCATTAAGGAGTGGGGAGAATGACGTCACAGAAATGCATGTCGCACGAGCTCCAGCGTCTCTCCGGGGATGGTCTTAGCCGGTCTCTCACCCTGGGTGTGGAAGGTATATCGACGCTTCAGAATTCTTGTGACCCTCTGTCTAATTCACGCTGTTTTGGACTTATATCCAAATCCCAGACAAAAGCAATCTATCACTATGAGAATACCACACCTACGAAGCTCTCTGGTCAATCGCTGATCATTCTGAACCTTGACTTCGCATTCTGTAACAATTTAAATCCTCTACTGTAATAGATTTTGATTGGAATTATATTTACATGTCTACATATTTTCAACGCAGAAAAAAAAACGAGTAAGAAATGACACTAAAAGACAGTGGTTTTAGGGTAAAATTTGCATGTAGAGCTTCCAGAACAAAATATCAAACAGAAACACCCACGATATAATAAAAATATTAAAACAAATATAGCTAAAGTACACATCAAGAAAATAAACACATACTTTCCAAAATCAAGTAAAATGGAAAATTATTCAACAGAAAGACCCTAAAACTTTATCATAGCACATACTGACATCATACTATATATAAACAAAACAACACAGAAAAATCAGAAGTACTCAAAACATACCTACTAAACCTACCTTTTACTGTAGAAGTAAAGGCCACTAAATGGTAAGCGTCTAGAAAATAATGTATTATACAAGGCTCCGGTAAAATCCAAAGGAAACTCTAAAAATATAAAAGAATGACATAAAGTATATGGAAGCAGTTTACATCAACGCTTCAAAACGTTTTAACATTTTTTCCTCGAAGAGAATTGTTGTGTATGATACACCTAATTTACATAAGTGGAGTACCGACCATATAAATATGGGTTGGTACCGGAAGACGACGGAAGATTAAGAGATCGAATCCAGAGACTCTGCCCGACTGCGACTTAGTCAACCCATTCTGCAGGAACAGTCTTCCCAAGAATATACCAAAACTACCTGTAAATATTGTGTACCTTTTTTCATTGTTTCAATACATTTTGTTACGTACATTTTGTGTTGTATTATTATTATTCCATGCTTATTCAAGCTTCAACAAGAATATAGTGGTAATTACCTCACCAGAACAAGATACACTTTTAAATAAAAATAAATAAATAAATGAACGAATAAAATAAAATAAAAAATGGTCAGAACTAATTTTCAGATGCAAACATGAAAATAAATTCCTTCTATGCTGTCTATAACCATCTCATGACCAAAAAGCTAAATTAAAATCCCATAATTCTAATAAATTTTATTCGTAATACCACAACACAGAGACTAAGAAAAATATGCGATAGAAAAAAATATACGAACTGTGGCTTATTCTAATATATTTCCGACATAAATAAAATTTTCCTAGGACAGTGGAAGCTCAGTTCACGAATTTAATTCGTTCCTAAAAGCCGTTCATAACGCGCAATTTTCGTAAACAGAAAATATTTTTTCAATAGGAATCAATGTAGAGAAAAGAAAAAAGTCGCAGTACAATAAAATTAGAAAAGAAAAGCATACCACAACACACGAATGTATAAAACATGGCGGTCGACTCAGAAATGATTCCGTTCGGGTTAACTCGGTTCGGCAATGTTGTTCGAGAACCAAAATTTCGTTCGATAGCCGATTTTCATCTCGAATTTTCTGTTCAAAAACCGATTTGTTCGACATGTAAGACGTTCGAGAACCGAGGTTGCACTGTAGTTAAATAATAGGAGATTGATAACTAGCCTTCTCGCATTTTTAGGCCTTGTATAATGTTCATTTGTATTGCATGCGTTTTTTATTTTGATAAAATAAATAAAAAAAGTCAGTTCCTCAAAAACATCATAAGTGAGTTAAGGAGTGGTAGAAAAGAGATTTAGAGAGTGAGTGAGAGTTTAAGTGATAGAAGTGAATGGGTGAGGTTCTTTTCTCGCCTTTCTCGCATGTGGAACTCCCTTCCAGCTCCACGCTTTTCAGTCAACATTAATCTTCGCAAATTTAAATGCAATGTCAATTGATATGAGATGCCCCCAAAAGGAGAAGTGCCGAAGATAAATGGGAATTTTTCTGCTGAGAAACACAGCTTAACTGACCTTGTACCACATCTGGTATCGTTGTAGGCGCACCAGAAAATACCTATAGAAAATTCCTTATATTCTAATATTCGGTGGTGGTTTGGTGATTTTTTCACAGTACTGCCGATAAATCTGTTGCAGTTTTTTGTGTATTATGCACTAGTGAGCTAGCCTAAATGAGTTGACTCATTTTATAGTTCACTAATAGAAGGGTTAACCAATTAGAAAGCTCAAAATATTTAATGCGACGTGTATAAAGGCAGCCATTTTTTTTCTCCCAAATTGT